TCCTCCTACTTAGAGGAGAGAGTAATAGAAATGCTTTATTTTATCCCAAGCTCAGCTCTGGGAATTTTTGGGCCCTTCCTCTTCCCACCTCGAGGAGAGCAAAAACCAAAGGTATCACTTTAGCTGCACTTTTTCTCCTTCACCAAAATAACAAGGGGAACCATTAAGTCAGTCCCCTGGAATTCAACTGAACATTTTCTAATTCCATAGGGAACTTTAACCTCTCACAAAAGATAACAAATAAACTCTCCTCATATCATAGATGACTCCACAGTCACCTGAGGCACCAAAGGTTTGCCCACCCCTTCATTCTTTTTTTTTTTGTGAAAACAGTTGACTGTCATATTTTAGTCAACAAATCCCATTTCTAGCAAATCCCACTTCTCACAAGTATACCAGAGGTCTATGAAACCCAGGTTTGATGATTTGCTAGGACTCACAGGATTCAACACAGGTACAGCTGTGACTATGACTTATAGCAAAAGGTAACAAAATCTGCAAAGGGAAAAGACACATAGGCAAAGACCAGAGGAAACCAGAAACAAACTTTCAAGGGTCCTCTTCTAGTGGATTCAGAGCACTTGCTTGACTTTCCCCAGTAATGAGTGTGACAATGCTTGTGTGAAATGCTGTCAAGCAGGGAAGCTCACTATAGACTCAGTGCCCAAGGGTTTTGTTGGGGGTTGGTCATGCAGGCACCCTGTGCCTAGGGTGCACCAAAATTCAGATTCTCAGAAGGAAAACAGATGTTTAGCACAAACAGAATTACTTTAACAAAGGTCAGGCACAGTGAGCCACTCTATCAAATCTAGGAATACTGGGAACACTCCTGAAACCCAGGTTCCCAGATGTCAGCCAAGGACCAACCTTCTACACAGGCCTTTAAAAGGACAGCTTTCTGAGGCCTGATATGTTAACTTTTTTCTGCATAGCAGTGGAACCAATTCTTTTTCTTTGAAGATTGTTAAGTAAAAGAAAAGAATCAAGCATCTATCATTTCACTCCTATGAGGAATGTACCTCAGGGTAAACTAAGCTTATGGTCTTTATTGAGATTCTAATTCAAACAGTTACAAAATTACGGCAACCAGAGAAATTTCAACATTGTATATTTGGATAATATAAGGAAACGAATGGTATTTTTTTCAGGTGAGATAACATACAGTATTTATGTAAAAAAATTCTGATCTTAAGAGTTACAGAGTAAAACAGTTACAGGTTGAAATGAAATATTTGAGATTTGTTTGAAGATAATCTAGGAGTGGTATTTTGGAGTAATTTCATAGTAAACAAGATTAGCCATGAACTGAGAATTTTTGAAGCTAAATGATAGTGACTCATTATTTCTTCTATTTTTATGTATGTTTTTAATTTTAAAATATTAATTGAAATGGGACTAACTGAAAAGATTACTTTATAAAAGATATTAAGACCACTGGCATTTACTAGTGGTAATACCATTCCTCTTGCTAGTGACTAGTTTAGAAATGGGCATTTGACTTAATTCTGGTCATAAAACATGACCTGTTTTTGGGGAAGGTGGAAAGTTCTAGAATAAGTCTCATTATTCCTGAGTAAACCTAGAGGACAGTTTTCTTCTTCCTCTGGATGTTGCTGAATCTAGATATGGTGACTAAAATGGTTGTAGTCATCTAAAAATTATAAAGGGAGCTAGTCTGAGGGTAGAGTTAACCTAAGGTTGTCAGTTCAGAGAGATGAGAAGGCCAGGGGCAGCTGATGACACACACTGTTGAGACACTGACCCAAATGTGCCTGCCTTATTCTCACTTCTTCTTCCATGAGATATGATGTTTCCTTATTGTTTAAGTCAATCTGAATCACAGTTGACTGTATCTAGTGCATAGAGGAGGAGAAAGTATGAAGTTGGCAAACTTCATCTGTAGGTGTGAAACAGTAAAATATTTTAAGTTTTGCAGGGTATATAGTTTCTGTCTACTCTACCTCTGTAGCCTAAAAGCAGTCAAGATGTTAGGGGTACAAATAAGTATGGCTGTGTTCCAATCAAACTTTATGAATATTGCAATCTAAATTTAACAAAATTTATACATGTCACTGTATAGTCCCCTTTTGACTTTTCCCCAACTATTTAAAAGAAGCATCTTCAGCTTGCAGGCTGTACAATAACAGGTGGAAGGCTGGTGTTGGCACATAGGTCGCAGTGGTCTGTTAACCCTTTTTGTAAAGGAAGAATTGAACTGAAAACACTATGATGTTCAGTAATGATAGTTTTTAGAATTTTTGGAACAATGTTGAACATATATTGAAGAGTTCAATGTTGAACAGAGTACATATATAATCAACTATAATCTGCTATGATATTGTCTATCTGCAACTGGTTGTATAACACACATTTCTAAGTTTTGTTGTCAAAAGTTTTTTTTTTTTTTTTAAATAGAGGCATGTTTATTTATTTATTTGTTTGTTTGTTTGTTTGTTTATACATGCACTGGGTACAGTCAGAAGTGCGGGAGGGTGAGAGAATTCACCAGAGCCAGAGCAGGGAGCAGAACAGGCAGAAGGACCGAAGTACACTGCTGAGGGGAGCAGCGGGCGGCAGGAGAGGTCTGCGCGCCATGTGGGACCCTCCTCCTGTGGCCGGGGAGCAGCCGGGGATCGAACCAGCGCCATAGAGGCCGCGGGCAGCTTCGCAACCCAGCGCTCAACCGCTGCGCCACCGGGGAGGCCCATGTTGTCAAAAGTTTAATGAGCTTTTTTTAAAATTTTATTTGAAATATTTTTACATCATTTTGAGTGCCCAAAATTAAATTTATCTGCTTTGATTACCTGGGGTTTACTACAATAGCTCTTTATAGCCTTTGCTACCGTAGTGTTAAGTTATGCTCAGGCTTTTGAGCTGCTGGCCTCTGTGGCTACCACTTGTGGCCTTGAATGCAGGAGGCGCTTGGGAGCATGGCCTTGGAGTACACATGCCTGATGGTGGATACAGAGTATGTTGTGGGCATGCATGAGTGTGCACACCTGAGCCTAGAGGCTGAGGCTATAAGGGTGGCGTCACACAGAGATGGCTGTAGCAGAATGACTATGAGAGGAAGAGACCAGTGAGAGCCCAAAGAAAGTAAAGATTTGCCAGGGACTGGGAGGCCTACCAGCTTCCTGCCCTGACCCACCCTTCCCCTTAGCCCCCCTGCCTTGCCAGCCTATGGGCTTGCTCCACTACAACTGGTATAGAAAGATCATTAAAGCCTGAAAAAACTACTGAGGAATCCAGGACTCTCCTTTACCTGTCTGTCCCAATGGATAGAGAACCTGCCCTGCTGTTGGCACTACAGCTACCCAGAATTCTAGTGTTAATCCTGTCACTAACAATCTAGGTTGCCTTGGCTACCAAGTTAAGTACCAAGGCACTTATCTTGTGAATCTGACTTTCTTTAACAACAGCACTTATACCAGGAAAACTGTGACCTAAAAGATGGCTCCAGAGACATCTACAATTGTACTTCAGGCCCCCAAATGTAACATGGTTTCAGGATTAGACCAGGCTGAGGTAGTGTGACTGATGAATGCATTCCCTACATATGTAATATCCAGGGTCAAGAAAGCTCAGAACCACCTACCCTCTTTCTTGAAAATTGATGAGATCATCTCTATGGCATCAATGCACCTACCACACTGGGGGTGTTTCATCAATTTTGATGTTCACCTGAATTATCTGGGGATCATGTTAAATTACATATTCTGATTCCGTGCATCTGTAGTGGGGGGAATACGATGAGTATCTCACAAATTCTTATGTAATACTGATGCGGCTGGTCCTCAAAACATGCTTTGAGAAGTTCAGCAGTAGTCCACTACAGTCCTGTTTTAAAGCTATTTTGTGGGAGCCATGAGGCAAATTAAAAGGTCCAGATAGCTAGCATCACTGCAGAAGAAGTCCTGAAATAGTGTCTCATGTTTTCCTTTGCATCTTTCACACTTTCTGTGGCACTTGAGGCTACTGGTACAACCATCTGCTAAGAGTCAGAAAGTTGGGAAGCTGTTTAAAGTGCTATTTAATTCTCTAGATCTCATTTTACAAAATCTTTTGATTTCTTCTCTCCATTTCCTTTTTTTTTAAAGATTTATTTATTTATACATACAAGAACCAGGGCACAGGCCAGATGTGGGGGAGGGTGAGAAGATTTACCAGAGACAGAGCGGGGAACAGAACAGGCAGGCTGACTGAAATACACTGCTGAGGGGAGCAGCAGGCAAGACAGGAGAGGTCTGCTATGCCATGTGGGTATCTCCTGGGCTGGCTGGGATTGAACCCGCACTACAGAGGCTGCGGAGAGCTTCCCAGCACTGTGCTCAACCACCTGTGCCACCAGGGAGGCCCTCTCTCCATTACCTTTTTAAAAGTCCTTAACAATTTCTATCTAGCATTGTCTTCTGCTTGGGATTCAAGAACTGGGAATGTAGGCTGTGAAGCTACCTGCAGCCTCTGCAGTGCCGGTTCGTTCCACGGCCACTGGCGAGGGTCCCACAAAAAAAAAAAAAAAGAACTGGGAATGCAAATTAGTGATTAGTGCCTATGTTATAAACTGGCAGAATAAAATTTCAAGATAGAAGAAATAAATTACTTATTAATAATTAAGAGTCAGGATAAAATTCAAATTGGCAACTGAATTTTAGGAAAAGAGAAATGTTAGGGGCAAGAAGCAGAAGTCACTGAGGCATTACATATTTTTTTTTTAAGTACAAGTTTCAGGCTTTTATAAATGATTTAGAATAAAAAAAAAGACAATTATTTGTACTCACTCTACCTACTGCAGTCATGAATAGAATTATAATTTTAAAATGTGCTAAGTTTACAGTTACCCACTTTAGAAAGTTCATTCATACAAGATATAGAAATATAATAACAGTATTGTAAACATGAAAAATCAGAAGAAAAACGAATCAATTAAATATAATTGGACAGCAATTATACTGGTAAATGTCATTTATTTCAAGAATTATTAGGATAAAAATGTAACTTACCTCTGATAAAGCTGAAGAAAAGTGATTGCAGTTTTTATGCATCAAATGATAGGCATTGCCTTTGTATTCTTTTCCCAATTCTTCCACAATTTTTTCTACGTCATCTTCCAGGAAGTCAGTGCTCCCTAAAACAACAGCTTCTCTTAAAGAACAAAAGGAAAAAAGAGGTAAAAAAGAAGAAAGCTGTGTGAGTTGAAGGTATTTAAGAAAGCATGCTTAAAGACTTATTTCCAGTGATATTATAAGTAAATCTAGTGAAATAAAACTAAAAGGTAAATGAGATACTTTCAACTTTTCTGTACACTATTTATAAAATAATACAACCAAGTTATTTTCTTAATAAAATAATATGTTAAAAATTATATTAAGGGCCTCTCTGGTGGCGCAAGGGGTTAAGATGCAACCTATGAAGTTGTCTGCGGCATCTGCAGCATGAGTTCGATCCCCAGGCGGCCAGGGAGCAACCCATATGGCGCAGCAGACCTCTCCTGACTCACCCACTGCTCCCCTCAGCAGTGTACTTCGGTCAATCTGCCTGTATTGTTCCCCACTCTGTCTCTGGTGAATCCTCTCACTCCCTACACCTCTGGCCTATACCTCAGCTCTTGTATGCATAAATAAATAAATCTTTTTAAAAAACTGTATTAAAATGTAGCATCAGTTATTTTTTTTTACAACTATTGCATCAGCAGTTACTTCAAATGGCTGGCCAATTTCTTAGGAATAATCTTTTAAGTTATCTGCTACTGTGCTACAGTGAGGTGAACTTCGAATAACTAAGTTAAAAAAAAAAATAAAACAAACAAAAACCCAGTTAATGAAACAAACAAAAATGACCCCAATCCAGTAAAAAACAAAACAACAACCAAGAAAAATAACTCCCATTCTGGACAGGCAACCGACATTATTCAATAGAAATGTAATTTTTGTCAGACACATAATGAGGTATCCAAGAAAGTGGAAAATACTTGAATAACTCTTATCTAGTAATAGACCTAAGAACTAGATTCAATACTCTAGTGTATAAATGTTTCATATCATTGATAGGCTAAAAGAATCATGAACTCAGTAGTGATAAAAATGTGTAGCCATATACTGAATTTCAATGTTATAACCTCATTTCACTAGTTTTCAGTTTGCAAGTTAATTATTATAGGTGCATACATTTCTTTATTTTTTATGAGTATTCTTAAAATTTTTTTAATTTTTTTAAAATTTTTTACATCATTGTTTATTTTTAAACAATATTTGCTTCCCCCAGCACCCTCAGGTGTAGTTCCCATAGAGTTTCCTTCACCAATGCACCCATGCACCATCACCTCAGTCCCCTATGCTCCTCCCTCCCTCCCTCTGATCCCTCTCTCTCCTCCTCCCCTGCAGGATGTCTCTGATTTATAATTGTCTGTTTTTGCTTTGTTGTGTTTTGTACTGTTATTATTTTTTTACACTGATGTCTTATTTGGTTCCTCTATATTCCTGCTATAAGTGAAACCATCCATTATTTTTCTTTTTCCTTCTGGCTTATTTCACTGAGCATAATTCCTTCTAGTTCCATCCACGTTGCTGCGAATGGCATGAGTTTATCTTTTTTTTTGATTGCTGAATAATATTCCACTGTGTATATATACCACATCTTCTTGATCCAGTCATCTATTTTTGGGCATCTGGGTTATTTCCAGGTTTTGCCTATTGTAAATAGTGCTTCAATAAACACAGGGGTACAGGGTGTCTTTTGAATCAATGTATTTGTGTCCTTTGGGTAGATCCCATGGAGTGGAATTGCTGGGTCATACGGTAGCTCCATTTTTAGTAGACTGAGGAACCTCCAGACAGCTTTCCATAGTGATTGGACCAGTTTGCACTCCCACCAACAATGCAGGAGAGTTCCTTTTTCACCACATCCTCACCAACATTTGTTGTTGCTTCTTTTTTGATATGTGCCATTCTTACTGGTGTAAGGTGGTATCTCAATATGGTTTTGATTAATGTTCTTGAAACCAAGATTGTATATATCACTTAAAACACAAACATTAATTAAGGAATAGATTTGAGTATTAGTATTCAGATTTTCAGTGCTGTTTACTACTCATAAGGCTCCAGATACACTCATATTCATACATTTTAAGTTTATTAATACATAAATATATGTACCTTAACAACTGCTTCCTGGCTAATAACTATTTAGTTATTTCACATTTATAAATAATGTCTATTTCAACGGAAAATGAAGAGATTTTAAAATAAGTAGGTCACATAAAAGTTCACCTCCCCCAAATAGGGAAGCAATATCAGTAGATATTAATATTTTCTAAAGCAGTCTTTTAGTTATATAAATAAAAACATTTTTATTTTTTTAAAGATTTATTTATTTATGCATACAAGAACTGGGGTACAGGCTAGAGGTGTGTGTGTGTGTTTGTGGGGTAGTGAGAGGATTCACCAGAGACGGAGTGGTGAGCAGAACAGACAGAGCGACTGAAATACATTGCTGAGGGGAGCAGCGGGCAAGTCAGGAAAGGTCTGCTGTGCCATATGGGTAGCTTCCTGGCTGGGGATTGAACTCATGCTGCAGTAGCTACGGATAGCTTCATAGGCTGTGTCTTAACCCCTTTCGCCATTAGGTAGGCCCAGTAAAAACATTTTTAAAGAAGAAAGAATAACTTAGATGGATCCCAAATAAAAGTAATAGACTAGGTTATTTCAGGTACCTTATCTGGAATATCTCTATCTTTCTATTTCATTTTAAAATAAAAAGTCAGCAACTAAAATAATGTTAAAGAAATATTTTAACATTCTAAGCTTTAATCTACAGAATGAATCTAAAAATAAGTTTTGGCACTTAAGATAGTGAAATAAAAATTTTCTCTGTACTTACTTAAATTTAAATGTTTCTCCTAGTTCAGAAGCATTTCCTGGAGAAATTTCAAATATTCCAGAAAAGGGATAAGGATGGCCACCATAAGCAAATTCTGAAAGAGAAAACTAATAAATTTTAGTATTTATCACATAAAATTTAACTAGAATGCTTAGTTTTAACAAATGAGGATAATAATGATTTAATCCAAAGATTTTGCAATTTATTAGTACTTTCACAAACATCTCATTTAGCTATTGTATAGAACGGTTAACACAAAAGACCTAACTCTTATAATGAAGGACCTTCAAAGGCAACCCTGACTTATATATTTACTTTGCTTATATTGGCAAGAAGAGAATCACTAATGACTCAAAGGTGAATAAAGTTCCTCTGCCTATCTATTACGTCAGAATAAGCAGGGTCAGTTCACAGCTTTGCTACTTTCTAAATTAAAGTGATCAAATTTCCAACTTGAATTTTATGGAAAAAATTGCCTAACAGTAAGTTTACAGGGCTCCTAGAATGAGGACTCTTGATTTATCTTAAGTAAAAGGAAAACATTAGCAAATGTGAAAAACTGAATTCAATTCCCCTCATTCAAGAAAAAGATACCAAATTAACACATACAACCCACTCACAGGCAGACAGACAGACAGACACACACACACACACACTCTCTCTCTCTCTCTCTCTCTCTCTCTCTCTCTCTCTCTGTCTCTTTCTCTCTGTGTGTCTCTCTCTCTCTCCACAACAAACCTTCTCGCTAGGAGGGAACCACTTGTACTACAGTGAACACATATTCAGGCTCATCAGATACAAACGCTCATTCAGAACAAAAATGAAGAAAGGTTCAAATCAGTAAAGAACAGAAATTTCTGCTTATAATTCTGACATGAGATACTTAGATATTTAAGTGACAAATCTTAGTATAAAGAATTCCAAACAAATGTTCAAATTAATCTCATCACATAACAGCTAATAAATATAAACTTAAAAGGTCTCAGAACAAACTATGTTTATTTTACTTTTGATACAGAGCTTCAGGGAAAAAGCAATGATGTGGATAAGTGTTTAGCACTCTATTTTGAGATATGCATTTGAATTTTTTTAAATGATAGAATCTTGTAAAACATTGTAGATAATCAGGTTGGACAGGGAAAGATTACATGTGGAATTTAGCTGTCTCCATTAGAGTAAGGAAAGTTATAGACCCATTTATTCTGCTAGTCAAGAAATGTTCACTTTTCAGGAATATATTTGGCCTCAATTTTACTGAACTTGGATATGTTTTGATCTATGTTTCTAATTATCCCTAAATCATTTTATGAAGGGAAGCAATGGCTAGGCAGATAAAAGAGCAAGGGACTAGGTACACAAGAATACTTGGGTTCAAATCCCAGTTCTGTTCATTTAGAGCTGTATGACTTTCAGCAGGTTTGAACTTCAGTTCTGCATCTTAAAAATGGAGAAAATGCCACATGCCCTTATCTACCTCATGAGGGCACGGACATGTGGTTCAAAACGTGATGGCACTTTAAAAACTGATTTTGCGTGGCACTACACACACAACTATGACAAACACCATATCAAATAAGGGAACCAACCCACAGACTATGATTCCACCCAGAGCAATATTCCAACCACTGAAATTTTCAGCAGGAGCCTCCTATTTTGGGGGTGGGGATTATTTGGTATATGCATTCTTTCAAGTGAAATGCAGCTAAACAAATCTTTATAGCTAACATTTAATATCCTACACTGCATCTACAAGCAGCTACTACAGAATATAAAAAAGGGAGATTATAAACCATCATACACATTTAAGTAAACAAGCCTTTTCTTTGTATGGGCTAAAGCTGGGATGCAGTCTTTAGGGGTAACCAGGTAAACTGCAGTAACATGTTCTAAGAGGTCACAAAGACTGCCAAGGTAAAGCAAATAAAGGCATTTCTGCTAGATTGAGTTTATGATTCAGAATCACTTATCACAACCCTGGTAAAAAACTGGCAACATGATCTGTTCTACAAAGACTATTAGAGATTACAGCTTGATCATGAGTAGACTATCTTGCATCAGGAGTGGGAATTAGAAGGAAGGAAAAAGCTATTGAAAAACAGCTGACTGATTTGACTGCCATGTAATGTTAATCATAATAAAGGGTAGTAAAAAACAAAGAGGTCCAAGTTGATGACAAAGGTAATCATTCTTGAGCAAAATTCTAGATGTAATCAAAGGCAGGATTTGGTCAGAGATATTTTTTGACTTTATAACTACAGTTGCAGTCTACACAAACGAATTTAGTACCAAAATTCCCTTAGAAGCCTACAGGATTCTATTCAACACTCCAACGCTTTCCCAACCAAATTGGTTGTTTTATCAAACTACATTGCAAGGTGAGAAGTTTCTTAGGAATGTCAACAATATTAGAGTAAAACTGTGATAGTACAACAACCTCAAAAGGAAAATATTTTTTAAGACATAGTATTAGAATAAAAGATAACTAAATGAACATTCACTTGTCTATTTTCCCTTCTATTCACTTCTTCTATTTTCTGCAATAAAAGTACAGAAGTTGTGAAAAAGGGAAGAATTATAGTTTTGATTTTGCAACTCCTTTGCGAGGCAAAAATCTACAGAAAGTATACTTAAACTGTGTGTACACATACCTCTGCCATATACTTCAATTCCTGAATGGAAAACTCCAATTCCAATGGATGAGGTGTATTCATTCATCCAGTACTAAGAAAAAAAAAAAAAAAGAAAATTTCAGAATATCTGTTCATTTAAGACTCAATAATAGTATAGGAAGTTACTCCCCAAATCCTTTACTGGATATTTAGGTCTTTCCAACACATTACTTAGTACTTTTCCTTATAGCTTCCATTAACAATACTAATTTGGGGGCCTCCCCTGGTGGCGCAAGTGGTTGAGCGCAGCGGTTTGAAGCTGTTCGTTCGCAGCCTTTGCAGCACGAGTTCGATCCCGTCTGGCCGGCGAGGGTCCCACATGGCACTGCAGACCTCTCCGGTCTTGCCCGCTGCTCCCCTCAGCAGTATATTTCATCAGTCTGTCTGTTCTGTTCCCCACTGTGTCTCTGGTGGATCCTCTCATCCTCCCGTGCATCTGACCTGTACCCCGGTTCTTGTATAAATAAATAAATAAATCTTAAAAAAAAACAAAACCAAAAACCAATCAATACTCATTTGGTCTGATCTTTGGGTCCTTGAGTATGCCATGTCTCAAGTGTAATGCATTCCTGGGTCAAAACAAATGTCTCCATTTGTCAACTAGCACATTATCAAAACTTCAGAGCAAAGCCCTTAAAATATAAACCTGGTCAGAGCAGAGAAATAACTGACATAAAAGTTCTCCTGTTGGTGATTTAAAATAAGATATCACATATGATGATGGTATCATTGTCATAAAATTAATGATAAAGGGTAATAAATTATTAAAAATTGTTGACAAAATTATGTATAAAAATACATTTCATGAATCTAGTACTACATACAAGAATCATGTACTACAAAAAAAGGACAGATATCAAAAGATTCTACAATGGGAAAATCAACCTAAGAAAAAGCAAAACCTAGAACTCAGAGGAAAATAAGAGATGTTCAACATAAACATTTGTAACTTTTCCTTGTGTAAAACGACATCAAGATCAAAAGATAAATGACATACAGGGAATAAAAATGTGTAACACTTTTATACTGTATGAGGATACAAGTCACCTCTCTATCTGAATCTATCTAGTCTCTGATTTTGGACAGCCACGCTTTGAATGGCAAGTAAGGAAATTGAGAGGCATCTTTTCTATCTGAGTCAATTTGATTTCTTTTTTAAAGTTTTTTTTTTTTTTAAAGATTTATTTATCTATCTATACAAGCACTGGGTACAGTCAGAAGCATGGGAGAGTGAGAGAATTCACCAGAGCCAGAGCGGGGAGCACAACAGTCTGACTGACGAAATACACTGCTGAGGGGAGCAGCGGGCAAGACAGGAGAGGTCTGCGCGCCATGTGGGACCCTCACCAGCCGGCCGGGGATCGAACTGGCGCTGCAGAGGCTGTGGGCAGCTTCGAAGCCCAGCGCTCAACTGCTGCACCACTGGGGAGGTACTGAGTCAATTTGATTTTGGAAGGAGAGAACTGATGGCACATATAGCAAGGGATTCCTCAAAACCTTTTCCAAATCTATTTAATTTCAGAATTTGGAAAGGGAAGGTTCAGACAATGAAGGATACTGTACAAAAAGCTCCATTAAAAAAAAATTTTATAGACAAGTGAGCAATCAGAATTAGTAGCTAACAAACATGAACTAACAATCTCACTAATGAACAGAAAAAATATTAATTAAAATAATAAGCTACTTTTCCTTTTCTTATTCATCAGATTGGTAAATAAATTTAAAAAAAAGCCAGTACTTGGTGTTGATAAGGTGTGAGGAAGACAGTTTTGAAGCATAAGTCAGTGACAATTAACTATCCCACTTCTTGCAATCTACTCTATAGAAATATTTAACCATTTATAAAGACAAGTTCCAGGATATTAATTGAAGTCTATAAACTAAAAACAACCGAAATATCAGTAGGGGAATAGTTAAATAAATAAAGGTAAATCCATATTATGAGCTACTAAAAATAATGAGTAAACAATACACATGGACATTAAAAGATAGCTAAGACACTTAAAGTAAAAAGACCAAGCCATGATACATTATCTGTAGCATAATAGATATTTGTAAAAATAAATAAATTTGTCCTGTATGCTTACATGATAATATGAAAAAATAAAAACAAACCCACCATTAAATACAACAAAAGAAGGAAGACTTAAATCACATAGATCAAACTGTTAAGAGTTTGAGAGAAGGGAATAGACATGGCTGGGATGGGAGTAAAAGAATATAAAGAAATACTTTAATGTGTATCACTACTTTTATAATTAGAAAAATCTCATTTTAAAATAAAATGCTATTTTCTTTTCACTGAGCAAGTTTTAGTTATTTGAATCTTTACATTACCATAAAAGAATAGACTGCATATATACAAAACATCCTTAAGTACAACATCATTAATTTGTGTTAACAAAATACTAGTAAGAACCAGTTTACTTACAGGTTAATATTTGGAAGGCTATGTACTCAGAAAGGGGATACTCTTGAGCAACTGACAGGGACGGATTTGAGTATACATTTGTTAGGGAAACAAAAGCAAGGTACCAAATAATATCTACCTAGGACATTATGATATATTTTTGTATGGCAGTGTATTTATCTAAATCTACCCCTTAAACTGGAGCCAAAAACTATGTCTGCAGGCCAATCTGGCCATCTTCTCTCTTTGCAAATAAAGTTTTATTAGAACATAGCAATGGGCCTCCCTGGTGGTGCAGGCGGTTAAGCGCAGTGTTGTGAAGCAGTCTGCAGCCTCTGCAGTGCAGGTTTGATCCCAGCCGGCCACAGAGATATCCACATGGTGCGGCAGACCTCTCCTGTCTCACCCACTGCTCCCCACAGCACTGTATTTCAGTCTGTCTGCCTGTTCTGTTCCCTGCTCTGTCTCTGGTGAATCCTCTCACCCTCCCGCACATCTGGCCTATACCCCAGTTCTTGTATGTATAAATAAATTTTAAAAAAAAGAACATAGTAATACCTATTAACTTACAAATAATCTGTGGCTGCTTCCATGTTATAATGACAGTGTTGTTGTATCTGGACTTTTTCAGAAAAAGTTTGTGTCTTATGAAAATGTCAGTGTGTATATTTTTGCAAAAAAGAAATAGATGGAAAATAAAACAGCAACTCCCAAAGCAAATGGTTACCTATCGAAGATGGGTGAAATGGAAAAGAAGGGATATTTCCTGAAATTATCTTGTATGCACAGTTTTTTTTTTTTTTTTTTTTTTTGGTGGGACCCTCGCCAGTGGCTGGGTATCGAACCGGCGCTGCACAGGCTGCGGGCAGCCCTGCAACCCAGTGCTCAACCGCTGCGCCACCAGGGGAGGCCCTGTATCTACAGTTTTGATATTTGAGCTATGTAAATGTTTTATATATTCAAAGTTAAATTTATAAGATGAAAAAAATACAACTTAAAACTGAATTCAAACAAAATGAATGAATGCAGTTGTTTACCAAATTAAGAACATACCCACAATAAAAAATTTAAGTTAACTTCTGAATATAGTACTTTGACTATATGCCCTTATAGGATATCTTCCAAGGACAAAAAGAAGTGCAAAGAAATTCTAAACTTAGAAGATTTATTGTTCATAGTGGTACAAGTATAGTAATTCTAAAATTATTTTGTATGTACTATAGATAGAATAAATGAGTAAACATACTGGGGGTGAGGTTGGGTGGTGTGGGGTGGAAAACCAGAGCTGTTAAATGTGGGTGAAGGGAGATATAAATATGAAAGGACGAAAGCTAAGGATTTTCACGGCGGTAATATGTATGAATTTATGATTTTAAAAAGTGTATTTTACCTAAGCAATAAGCCAGGCTACTCAATCTTGGTTTCTCCACTAAAAGGAACAGACTTCTTGGAGAAAAGGTTGATTCCATGTTGGGGCAGAAAAAGTACAAGGTAAGAAGTGTGCAAAGAATGATGGAGAGATAAAAATGTGATTTAGAAGTTGGCTGAAAAGCAACTTTGGGAAAATGCAAATATCAAAAAGAATAACCACAATATGTTATAACATATAACATGTTAACTGAACATGTAACATATAACACATGTTAACATATAACTAAAAAAATCCCAAGTTCACAGTAATTTAAAAATAAGTGAAAGAAGGGAAAGCTCTTCTTTACAGAAAAAGACGAGTCAATAAAAATAGAGGCAAGGTCATCAATAACCCCCCACTGGACAAGGAGCATGGATGCTAAAACCACTGAAAGAAGGTTACAGGGAACTATGTTCACATGTCCTCAAAGTATCAATCTCTCATTTTTCTAAATTGTAAGGTGAAAAGATATCTTTACAATGGACAAATATGGTGAATATTGTCTTATCCAATAGTCTTATCCACGATTAAACTAAGTCTTATTAATAATAATTAAAATATATAGATTGTTATGTGCCCCCTGGTATGATGAAATAGAAAAACCACACATTCCTTTCCTTTGTTAGTTTTCTTATCAAATACGCTAAACAGACTTGCAACTACAAGGGAACACTTGGTAAATCTGGATTTTGGGACAGTCTAGAAGGAAAGTGGCCTTGTCTTTTAAAAAATAATGGACACGAAAGTCTTAAATCTTCTTTAAAGATTCAAAAGACATGACAACTAAATGTAATGATGGAGTTTTGGGTTCTAGATTTTAAAAAAGGAAAAGCAGACACTTAGGGGTAATATTAATAAATGGATTATTCATGAGATACTGTATCAGTTGAAAAATTTCAGTTGCATGGTTAGGTAGAGAACGTCTTCTTAGGAAATAGATGTTAAAGTACTTAAAGAAGAGTTGTAATTGTGATTTACTTTTTATGTGTATTTGAGTGCATGTGTAGGAGGATAAGAGAAAGCAAAAATGCTCAAAAACTGGTGAATTTAGGTGAAAGTAGGCAGATTATACTTTCAGCTTTTTTTTTTTTTTCCCCCTTCAAAAAAGGCTTAAACCATTTTCAAAATAAAAAGGTAGGGAAAACTAAAGAGAATGATCCGGACCTCCCCCTGGTGGTGCAGGCGGTTGAGTGCAGCACTATAAAGCTGTCCGCAGCCTGCAGTGCCGGTT